AAGGCAAGAGATCTTCCAGAATCCAAACTTTGCCTAATTCTACAGACATGAAAAGAGAGGAAGTAGGGGTTTTAGCTGGATGAAGTGACCAAGATTTCACAGGTATAACAACTTGTGAAATGTTTTAAAAATATAATAATCTATCTTACCTTGTGGTCGGAGTTAACCAGTCGCCGATGAGTAAAGTAAAATCGTCATCAGGGTTTGGATAGGGGATTGGATGACGGATCTGTGATAGACATTGAGTCCACCGAAACCTCCCGATGCTTTGTGGAGTGGAGTTGATGGGAAGTATGAGTAGGCTCCAATTTGATCCTTGACCTGAAACTTGTATGTAATTTGAGTTTGGAGGAATGGGACAGTTCGTTCCCAGTACTCCGTCTTGCCATGAATTTTCCTTTTGTTTAATACCGTTCCTGTTTTCATCAAAACGTCACAAAACATGTCCTCGATTCGATCATGGAAAACACGGCAGAGAGATGCAGAGAAACTCACCAAGTCAGAAGAAACGGTTCGTCCAGCTTGTTCACAAGGTTGAGAATTATATTGTCATTAGTCACTACATCAAGCCTAGGCCCAGGAAACTGACCGTTGATGAGGATTACCTTAAACAAAAGAAGTAAAAGACCGAAATATCAGAAATGCACATAGATTAATCCCTTGGTAGGCAAAATGAAAAGTTATGAGAAGCAAGAATGTAGATATATGACCCACTTGCTGGGAATGCCAAGAGGAGAACGAGTCCCATAAGTGACAGCCATGTATAGTACTTATATGCGTCTTCTGCTTTCACCAGACCACGCTCAGCAAGGCCAGAACAGAACACACCAGAGGGAGCAAGCTTGTTCTTCCCATTGTATACATCAGAAAACCAGAGTCCACTCAACCTCACTGAGAAGAGCAATTAGGAGTAAAGCATCCCAATCCACTTTCTAAATTGGAAACGAAATCAAAGTATTAGATTTCCCTTGTCTTGGAGAGTGACTGGCCACAGGAGCTGGGAGCTGTATATAACAACCTCACAGGAAGGTGTGATTGGAGTGATAAGAAATAATAGTTTATTGAGGCTTGTTAGTTTTTAAGGTAGCAAAATTGATGGGATTGGGCAGGGGCCAGGGGGTGACGCGTTTTCAAATGGTTATTGCTTCCAACTAAAGTGACGAACAATTCACTCATGAATTATCATTAAAGTGGAAGCTATGGCTTTAGCCCATCATTTTGACTATAACACCCCTGAAATCACGCCACTCATCTCCCCTTTCTCTCTTCTTCTTGTCAACTTTTCCTGATTCCGCTGGTTGTTAATAATCCTATACCAATCCACCAGTTTCCTTTCAGTGTTCTTTCCTCTAATATATATATATATATATAATAATCAATTCATCAGTAAATATTCAGTATTTGGAGGAGAACTGGCATGGTAAATATTATGAGAGACCCCATTTTCATTTCTGATTATGTAGTCCTCTCATTCTGTCATCAGAGATCAACTATAAGCAAATAAGGTTTCCCAGAAAAGGGAATCGCTGATTTTCTTGGCATCGTCTAGTGCATTTGATCGTTAAGGGCTAGGTCAAGCACAACATAAATGAGGAGAAAAGAAATATTGGTACAGTGTTCAAGTCAACTAGCGGCTGTAGAAATCTTTAAGAAATAAAGATTTTTTTTTTTTGAAATAAAAGATTAAACAACATTAAATAAAGTTATTCATCGATATGTTGGAATGTTTAAGAAATTATCCATTAACAAAATGGAAATCATGTAATCCAAGGCATTACCTTCAATACAGATGCAGCGGAGGTATCTGATTATTTTAAAGCCTCTACTGGGAAGTGTGAATGCTGTTGTCTGTATGTTGTTTGGGCACGAGGAAGGTAAAATGATTGACATTAATTAACTGCTATTAAGAAAAAGGAAAGAGACGGATGTGGGGCGCCAAATTATGGGCACTCATGTGAGTTGCAGATGATGGCCACGACAAAACTTTATTTAAACTTGACCAGTGAAACGGAAAGAAAGAAATGAAAAAAAAAAAAAAAGGGCAAGGCCCACAAACAAAAGACGGTTCCAGTGACCTGTACATCAGGCCGAAAAAATAAAGATGAAGTTTGGTGAGTGAAAAATCTGCCTTGCATGCATCTTTACATAATTGGCGTCAATTTCGGTCAAAGCATGTGAAATCACTGTGTTGTGTGTACAAAGTCCCACTTCCATCTGTACGTGCAAGGATAATACCATTGTCTGTGAATTGCAATTTTTTCTTTTGCCACACATTATTATGGAAGAATGGAAAGAGCATACTAGGGAAAAGGAGAAGAGCATTCAGTTGGTATCCGCGAATTGAAGCAAGATGTTTAAATTCAACTTGATATGCTCCTGCTGTTTTATGCTTTGGCTCAACTAAGTCATAGATTTTCACCCCTCTGTCCTTAATATAGAACTTAATTAGAGAATTGATGTTGATCTTATATATAAGACTTAGTTTACATGTTTTAATTTTTTTCCCCAAAATTTACCTTATTGATATTCTCCCAATAATAATAAAGTAGGGGAAGAAGGGAAGTAACTAAGAAAATGCTTAAGGTGTTTTAGAAAGAATATACCATATCATATTAACTAATTTAACTAACATATTTAATTTACTCAAACTAGTTAATTAGGTCTTACATTAAGAACTGAAGGAATATTAATTATCTATGATGATTATCTTTTTGCCAAGCTTTTGCATCCAAATTTAACTACTTTTAGTTGTCCTCTGAATCATAATTAAATATGACGTTGATTGCTTCTGTATCTGAGAATTGAGATGAAATTAATGCCATATTTTTTTTACTGTTTTTAATTCCCTCAGGATTTATCAATTTTATCATGATTATAATGTACTCCTCTAGTCCTTAATATAATATCTATTTAACTAATTTGATTAGATAAAAGAAATTAGGTAAGTTAGTTAATTACAAGAAATATGACCTTTTTTTTTTTAAAACACCATAATCATCCTTCTTAATATTTTTCCCAGCTCACTTACTTGATTATGATTGAGGGAGTATCCACAAGGATAATTTAGAAGAAATTGATAAATATGAAAAATAGGTATGATATTTATTACGAAAATTAACTTAATGATTAGGTTATATATTAAGGATTGGATGAGTAATTATATTTGGATTTGATATGACATCATTAACATTGACAAGTACTCGGCGTGTTTGAAGGATGAAGAGGCCCAGGAGCGTCTGAGTATTCTGAGACTCAACTTTGGGCAACTGTGCCATCTGCAATTTTATGTTGATGTGAATGATGTTCCCATAATTCAAAGCTGATTACTCCAAAGCCATCAAAAAATGAGAAAAATCAGAAGAAAAAACGAATGTCTGATTAATGAAGCGAAATCAATTGGCTTACTCGAATTCCTACTCCAAGACTTTCTGCTGCAAAGCCTACAACAAGAAAATTTTATTGATGCATCATCCAGCTGCAGTCTTAAATTTCTATTTTGACCATGAACTGTTTAATGTGTTATCTTTTGAACAAACTGCAAATTTGCCCCTTTATCATATATACGGTAATAGAGGAGGAAAGTTGAAACTCAAAATGTTACAAACTCTTCAGTATCTTCATCGAACTTATTCCATCCAAGCTGGAGAGAATTACATCATTGTCCACCATGAAATTTCACAAGAAAAGTCCATGTTGTGTTTGGATTCATTCTGAAAACTCAACCTTTTACCTCATTCGACCCCTCGAAAGCCTAAGCTCGTGTTTTTTTTCCTTAACCGCCTTTAGCTTTAAGTAAATGATCAATCCAAGTAGAATGATTAGAAATCTTTTTGCAACAAAAAATTCAAATAAATAGGAGTGTGGCGAGTTGTCATGGGGGGCCGCCATTTAAACTTGTGGAGCTGGGCTGTCAAAGTTTTAAACAGAGAGAAACGTTAAGTGAGATATCAAGTCTTATTGGGAGCCCAATTGAAGAACCAGCGCAGTTCGCTACTTTGGATCCAATAGGTGAATCCCATGCCCGAAAACTGGTCATTAAATTCAATTCCTTTTATGACCTTTTGAAATCATGAGATGGAACAAACTTTACGTGCAAATGCCACGACTCCTGCAAGGTTTCACACGTCACCTTGGATCGCTGCACGTGTCGGCTCTAAACTCAACGACCGTCTTGGTGACCACCTCCGCCGAATGACCCATATTTGAAACTATATAATACTAGTATACAGGATGAAACCGAACAAGGCAAGCATCTCCAACCTCGACAGCAACATCATCGATTCACCTCGTCTTCTTCATCATGTCGGCCCAAACACACTCTCTAGCTCCTTCTCCTTCATCTTCTCCTTCCTCGGGTAGTTCGACTCTGCTCTTTTAGACATACCAAAAGCATTCTTTATTTGTTTATAATTTCACCCAGATGATGTGTTTTCACATTGAACTTGGCTTTGTGTGGCCCAGTAGTGAAGGACGTAGCTCTGTGGAGAAGAAAGTCGCTAACTGCAACAATTCTCATCGGGGCAACAGCAACGTGGACGTTGTTGCAAGTGTATCAATTCCATTTCGTCGCTGTTTTCTCGTGGCTGGTCATGCTTCTTCTTGCTTCTGCCTTCCTCTGGGCCAATATGATTAGGCTTTTTGGCAAGTAAGTGCCTCCCTTTTCCTGTACAAATTTCTACATACTGAGGACAATGACTTCTTTGTTTTTTCCCCCCAATTGGGTCAATCAATTATGTTGAATACAGGGCACCCCCGAACGTGTCGGATTTGGAGTTGACTGAAGAATCAGCTCTGCAAATGGCGTACGTGGTTCGAGCATGGATCGAAGAAGGAATAAGGTTTCTGTTTCGGGTGAGCGCACAAGAAGACTGGTCTCTGTTTTTAGGAGCCGTTGCGGGATTGTTGTTACTTTCTTACGTTGGGAGCAAAATGGATCTGTTAACATTGCTTTATATAGGTACGTCATCAATTTCTAGAATATTTATGTTACTGATCTTTCTCTTGGATAACGATTTTCAATGTCCGATTTGACTGTTAATTAAATAGGTACACTGACGAGCACGACAGTTCCTGTAATTTATAACAAGAACCAGAATAGGATTAAGAGTTCGTTGGAGTGGTCGAGAGTGAAATGCAAGAGGGCGTATGAGACATTTGATGAGAGGGCCATTCAGAAGATCAAAAGCAGAGTAATCAACGAGAATGAGATGAAGAGAGCGAATGAAAAGAAAGTGGAGTAACTTGCCTTTGCTGCAATGTTGCAATATTGCATATAATCCACGAGTTGAAAATGTATGTAAATATCACCCTATGTGTCAAACAGATAGTGACGGGTGAATCTTTGACGAGTTCCATTTGGGAATGGTGATAGCTTTGACTCTTCTCTCTTCTCTCTCTATCTCTCTCCTTTTCCTTTCTCCGAATGATGGGTTTAGCTTAACGATTAAGGATTCTTCCCCCGCTGACATTGACTTAGACGTCATAGTACTAAAGTTGTGTTAAGCTAACGACATAACAGTGTGTCTAAAATCGTGGAACGTTTTAGAGCCTTTTTGGGGTAGCTTTTACTAACACCTAAAAGCAAGGTACAAAACTCTTATCAGGCAAATTACTATTGAAAAACTAGCTTTCAATCTATACGATTAAACGACATCAACTTCATCATAGAGATTTTTTTAGCCTACATCTATGAGAAAATTGCAAGAGAAGCAATAATTTAAGGATTATTTATTTGGACTCAAGTAAAAGTCGAAATTAGATTGAGGTTGGCTGCAGTTAATTGGAAGAATCTTTAACAACACTTGGCTGCATTCTAAAATATTACGCAACGGGATTATTCTTCCCTATACTTTAGAATGTATTCTAAGAAAATTAGTGTGCAACCAAGTTGGGGCGGGCGCGATCAATGTTTACTCGTGTTTTTGTGCTTGTCAGTGTGAAGACGACTTTCAATGGAGAAATGTCGGCTCGAGCAATCAACTCCTCTATCCTAAGGTGCCAAGAAGGATCATAGAAGCTACCGCCAGTCAGTTAACTTATATATAATCCAATGCAAAATTGACAATTCTGGGATTAAAATCTCAATCCCAAGCGCAGCTTTATTCTAGATTATTGCGTGTCAGTTTGGTTTGGGTCTTTTGTTTGAATTGAGCTTCACGTAATCTATCGTTTTCTTTTGGCCGCGCACTGAGCGCCGCTTTCTGTCGGGAATTTCTCTATAATATTTCCTAGGCAAAGAGAAGATTTTACACCGGCTGTGATTTTGCGAATCGGGTGAACTCATGGCAGAAACGGTCATAGAATTTCTACTCGACGAACTGCTGAGCAAGGTTTTGGAGGCGAAGGACAGGGCAATTCAGTTCAGACCCACCCTTGAACGCATGGCCACCACCCTCAGGTCAATAAAACCAGTGATCGAAGAGATAAAACAATACAACAGGCAACTAGATCGGTCAGAGGATGAAACAAAGAAGTTAATTGAAGATGTGAAGAATGGGGAAAAGCTTGTTCTCAAGTGCTCAAAAATCCAGTGGTGGGAATGCTGCTATAGGCCCCAATACCAGGAGCAACTTGAAGATTTGGATCAGTCACTTGTCAGGTTCTTTCAAGTTGATATGCCAGTTCAGACGGCGAGGGATGTGAAGGAGACGCTGGTAGAGGTGAGAGGCATTCATATGGAGATTAAGAAACTGAATGCGGTTGCGAGAAATGAAAGGGGCCTGTGCTCGGCTCCCGAGCCCCCAACATTCACAGTTGGATTGGATGTTCATGTTGGGGAATTGAAGGTGCGGCTACTCCAGGATGACGTGTCAGCGATCGTGGTCACCGGCTCGCCGGGTTCTGGGAAGACCACATTGGCCAAAAAGTTCTGTTGGGATGCTAATGTCAGAGGTATGAATGGAGTCCCATTTCCATTCCTTCTTTCTCTTTCTGCATTTCTATTCGCTTCTCGTCCTTCACTTATGCAGGGACTTCTAAACAGACTAATGAAACGTTCATTTTAAATTAACGGTAGTGGTGGACACTTAAAAGAAACAACTTTTTAAACGAAAAAAAAAAAATTCTATGGCACTACTTCACATGCTATGATTCAGAAATTAGAGTCTATTAAGTTTGGATTCTAAATGTGGAAGGCTTGGCCAGGTAAATTCAAGGACAATATCTTCTTTGTCAAATTCTCGGAGACGCCAAATTTGAACGCTATCGTACAGAAACTTTATCAACACAATGGTCGCTCAGTGTCCGAGCCTCAAAATGATGAAGAAGCGATTGACCTATTGAAACTTTTGCTAAAGCAAATTGGGGAAAATCCTACACTGTTGGTTCTGGACGATGTTTGGGATAGATCGGAATCTCTTGTTGATAATTTTCGCATGCAGCTGCCGGAATATAAGATTTTAGTGACTTCCAGATTCGCAATTCGAAGATTCGGCACCCCCTATTGCTTGAGACCCCTTGGTAATGAGGATGCTGTGAAGCTTTTCCGCGACTCCGCAGAACTGAGGGAGAGCCGTTTTGATGTTCCTGATCATATTGTGAGAGAGGTACTTTATGTTGCTTTCTGCCACTAGTACTTCTCATGCCGAGTTCAAATAAAAAAGAAGTGCCACTTACAGCTTTATTTTGCTCTTTCTTAAATTGCAGATAGTCCAAGGCTGCAGTGGTTCTCCAATGGTGCTAAATGCGATTGGCAGGTCACTCTGTGGGCAGGATGCTGTGGTATGGCAAAGCAGGGCAACAGAATTGTCGAAGGGTCGCCCGATTTTTGAATCTAATGAAAATCTGCTCGCTTTTCTCCAAAAAAGCTTCGATGTCTTGGACACTAAGTCAGTAATTAAGGAGCGTTTCATGGACCTAGCTTTATTTCCTGAAGGCCAGAAGATTCCTGCAGCTTCTCTTGTTGATATGTGGGTGGAATTGTATGGAGAAGATGACGTAAATGCAATGGAGAAAATTTATGAACTGGCCACCCGTAACATGGTTGAAATTGTCGTAAGGTACGCTTGCTGGCTCTTTTTATTTGGGCTGAAATGCCTGGAGTCTCTTAAATATTCTGTTATCCTCTAGAACATGCTAGTAATGCCATTGAGTGCGCCCTTAACTTTAAGTTGAAAAGAGTTGTTTTGTAAATCCTTTGGGAAGAGAGGGCAATTCACAGGTCCGCCACAATCCAGGATCAAGTTTTGTCAATAACAGCAAGATTCTTTTCATAAAAATGTATAGATGATGATGATGATGCAACCAGAACATTAGAAGACCTTACGATATAGGAGTAAAATTTAGAGGGAGGCCATTCACCTAAACAAAAGCTAGTAGTAGTGAGGGAGACTAATCATCACAGTGAATGTCACTTTATATAGCTTTTTGAAACTTTTATTTATGATTGAGCAATAAGTCCTTATTGTCGAGCAGGAAATTTCCAAGTGGCACAGGTAACTTCAGTAGCCACTTTGTCAATCGGCATGATCTTTTTCAGGAGCTAGCTATCCATCAAAGGCAAATTAGCCAGGAGCCACTGGAAAAGAGGAAAACACTGATTATTGACATAACTGCAAACGAACTTCCCCAGTGGTGGACTGACCAAAAAGAGTATCATATAGCTGCCCGCGTATTATCTATATCAACTGGTTTGTTCCTCCTTCGCTGACTCTCTTGATGCACTAGCATGTCCTGGGAACTGCACTAAATTACCTATCGCTGATGCTTATCCCTCACTTGACTTATTGAATCTTTTTGCAGATGAATTATTCTCTTCTGATTGGTGTAACTTGATACCAACTGAAGTTGAGGTTCTAGTTTTGAACTTTCGAGGGAAGAAGTACACCATACCAAGGTTCATAGAGAAAATGAATAAACTAAAAGTTCTGTTAATCACAAATTATGGTTTCCACCCTGCTGCTGAGTTAGAGAATTTAGAACTGCTTAATTTGTTGCCCAATGTTAAAAGAATTAGACTGGAGCGTGTATTGATCCCCTCCCTCGTTGAGAAAAGAGTGCACTTGAAGAATCTTCAGAAACTGTCTCTGTTTATGTGCAATGTGAATGAAGCTTTCGAAAATTGTTCCGTCCCTGTTTCAGATATGATGCCAAACTTGGTGGAACTGAACATTGACTACTGTAATATGGTGGAATTGCCAGTTGGGTTGTGTGGTTTTGTCTTCTTAAAGAAGCTTAGTATTACCAGTTGCCACAAGCTTTCCGCACTTCCTGAAGAAATTGGAAAGTTGGTCAATTTGGAATTGCTAAGGGTTAGTTCTTGTTCTGATTTAACAGAGTTTCCGGACTCAGTTTCCAGCCTTCAAAAGCTAAAATTTCTTGATATGTCTTACTGCATAAGCCTCAGTAGATTACCAGATCATATGGGTAAGTTACTTAATTTGAAAGAGCTCTACATCACGCGTTGCTCGAGATTATGTGAGCTGCCACCCACAATCATTAACCTTACGGGGCTAAGAGTTGTGGTGTGCGATGAAGATGTGGCTGCTTTATGGGAACCTTGCAAAACCATCTTTACTGATCTGCATGTAGAGGTGAACCAAGCTGATTTTAGCCTGGAATGGCTTTGAAATTTCATTGCCAATAAATGCGCTTTCTGGCCAGGGGCAACATATTGGAGCGGGAATGAAGATATGGAATGAAAATGAGAAGATATGTGCAACGTAACTTATGCTTCTGTGGTTTAACTATCAGGGGACATAAAGAAATAGATGCTGCCTACTTGTATGGCTATTGTGCAATTGAAAATGGACATGAAGAGAAAGTCATAAAATTTTGGGCTTGATGATAAATTTGTACTGAGATAGTGTTTGTGAAGAAAGATGGCGTGGTTGAAAGTTATTACAATCAAGTTTGGAGAGAGTGATTTCTTTTGTAATTTCAAGATAAGTGGTTTCTATCTTCATCCGTTCTAATCTCCTTTATTCTTCGTTGAAAGTTGTTACAATTAAGTTTGGAGAGATTGATTTCTTTTGTAATTTCAAGGTAAGTGGTTTCTATCTTCATCCGTTCTAATCTCCTTTATTCTTCGTTGAAAGTTGTTACAATTAAGTTTGGAGAGATTGATTTCTTTTATAATTTGAAGGTAAATGGTTTCTATCTTCATCCGTTCTAATCTCCTTTATTCTTCGTGTCGTCCACGACAAGGTGGACAAGTTCCATTCCCTCAAGTATAATATAAGCGAAATTCCCCTGCATTTCTTATGACTTTTATTAACACTCGGAATTTTTCCATGGACTATCGCCAGGGTCTTCGATGGGAAGCAAGATGAAAAGAAGAAACTTTATCCGGATTCGTCTGTCGTGAATCATGACTTTGATATCCTGAATTTTTCCATTGATCTTATCTTTGCAATTATGGAATTTACTGGATTATATTTTTTTGGTGGTTAAAGCAGAACTAGACTTTCCGTAACACCGGGATGCATTTTCATTTTCATATTATAATCTCATTAGCCGCTGTTTTTCATTTGTTTGTTTGTTTCTGGAGTCAAGACTCGAGGATCGAGATATCTGTGGCTTGTGAAACCAGGTCCTTGGACTCTCTCAGCCATTTTGTTGTTAGTATCTTGGAAAACCGTAAATGTGTATTCACGCAGGCGCGCAGCATTTGCGAGGTTGACATGTTGCCCTTTTCCTTTGATCGTCTCCGGCGGGCAGATGGAAGTAGAAAACGAGATATTTCCGGGGTTCTTTCATCGATCTCTCTATTCAATCCGATCCAACGTCTGGACAGAGGCAGATTCTTATTCTTTGCCAATCAGAGCAAGGTTAAAAGCCCGTATTTTGATTCTTCCGCCTAACTACACGGAAATTTCCAAGACTTTACCAGCGCGCTGTTTGTCAAATCAACGTCAAAAAGTCAGTCAAGGCCTTAAAAAAAAAACAAAAGGCGTCTATGTTATAGGCAGAATTTCCCGGAAATAAATAAATAATTTGAAAAAGATATAAAGGAAGTAAATGCGCGTCCGCTATATGGTTAAAATATATAAAGAAGGTAGGAAAATGAGCATCGCCTTTAGCTGTTGAGCCCCACGAAAGAGGAGTCAGAGTCCGTATGAGAAGTAGCGAGGCAAGGCTGTGGAAATAGCGGCTTCTTTTCGTCCACTGCGGGTTCCGCGAAGGGGTCCGTCTCCAATCTCCATGTATATATGTGCATGCGTCTGGCACTAACAACGGAAAAATCCTGTTCGGCTGAAGCTTTGATTCCTCACAGAATTGAAAAGAAAAGAAAACATTTCAAAGATCTGATTTGCTCTTGTTATTAGCCATGGCAGCGGGTGCAAACCTAATTGGCGGAGATGATGTGGCAGCGGTGTTTCGAGAGTTGTTGAAAAAGATAGAGGACTGGATCGAGAAGGCTCACCAGAGTAGATCCACACGCCAAATATTGAGGTCAACTCTGAAGGATTCCACGTCGCTGGTGGAAGAGATCAAAAAATTGAACGATCACTTGGATTCCCCAAGAGAAGAAATAGAAGAGCTGATCCAGGAAAAGGAAGCAGGAGATACGCTCGTTAGCAAGTCCCCGAGAATCTCTTTTTGGAATTTTCTCTTTCCAAAATCCTACCAGGACAAGCTCAGACAAAGGCACGGTTCAATCGTCAAGTGCCTGTCTTTTAATTCGAGAAGTGAAAATAAGATGGCAAGGGATGTGAAGGAAACTCTGAAGCAGGTGAGAGAAATTCTCGAAACGATGAGCAAAGAGAACTCCGACCACGGAATTATGTGCTTGCCTACTCAGAACCCTGAATTCGTCATCGGCATGGAGGAGCCCTTGGTGAGGTTGAAGATGGAGCTCCTCAAGGACGGTGCCTCCATTCTTGGGTTGACGGGTCTACCAGGATCCGGCAAGACCACGTTGGCCAGGAAGCTTTGTAGTGATGACCAAGTCAAAGGTAACACTTCTTTTCTTTATTCTTTATTCACATTGGTAATTGGCCCTGCTCAAGGCCCAATATTTTTAGGCTTAAATGAGGTCCAATATTTGCTACTGGTCCTCATTACTGTATTCGGCCCAATTAAGGCCCAATACTTGTTAACGGAAGTCCGGAGGAATTTTACTTTTCTCATTTCTATTTTTACCGAGAGGAATTTTTGCAAAAATGTGTTTGGTCAAAGTTTTTACTTTTTTTAAAAGAGGACTCCTCACCTTATAGAATTTATTTTTTTTGAGGGAGGGCGGCATATCAAGTTTGATTGGGTAAATTACCCTTACAAAAATTTTAGCTACCCAAAATTTCTTTTGTTTTGATACAGCATTATAACTTTTTTTTGTCAAAAAAATATGTTCATAAAAAAATTATAATAAATAAAATTTGTAAAATGAAAGTTTTAATATTTTTAAGGTGAAACTTTTAACATTTAAACACAAAATTTAATAAATTAAATTGTAATATACTACTTTCGGTTTCTAATATGAGAGTCTCATATTTATAATTTTCATCCCAATTATCCTTATTAATTGCATATGTCATGAGAGTTTAATTTCAATGCAAATGATTTAAAATTATATCTTAGGTCAATACATATTTTTAACAAGTAATTTATTTAATTAATTTTCTTAATCAAATAACTATCATTTTGAAAAGATAAGGTTAAAAGCATGAAGCAGCTTTAATTTAATAAAAATATAATAATCGATTATCCCCCCCCCCAAAAAAAAAACCTCAAAAAACCCCTTTTCCTTGTATTAAACCAGGCCCCCTCTCATTCTCTCCTCATCCCAAGCAAAGAATCATTTAAATTTCATTCCCTGCACTGAACTGGACATGCTAGTGATGCCTTTCGCCCATCAATTATTTGTTACATGCTCACGGCAAACCAACAGAATAAAGAAAAAAATGAAGAGGTGTGGAAAAGTGCCTTGCAAGATTATTTCCTGGTTAAATAAGCACCAGTCTGTATCCAAGTATGGGAAAGTTTAATCAACAAATCAAAAGAATATGGGATATATGAAATTTTTTCTGGATTAAATTAAGAAGCATGTTATTTTACCTATATTCAGCTGCTACGAGGCTTCAAATGTTCCTTGATTCATTAGATCTCTTTGGTTTTATTAGGTAAGTTCAGGGACCATATCTTGTTTGTGACCTTCTCAAAAACACCCAACTTCAAGGTCATTGTGGAGGCTCTATTTCAACGCTGTGGGAAGGTTCCTGAGTTTCATAGTGACGAAGAAGCAGGTAAAGAATTGGGACTTCTGTTGAGTACAATATCGGGCAGTCCGATATTGCTGGTGCTGGATGACGTTTGGCCCGGCTCAGAATCACTTGTTCAGAACTTCAAGCTCCAGATTCCCGATTATAAGATTTTGATCACTTCGAGAGTCACATTTCCAACGGCTAAACCTCGTATCCACTTGGAACCACTTCCTTATGAAGATGCACTAACACTTTTCCGTCACTTTGCTCTCGTAAAAGACAATTGCTCGTACATTCCCGATGAATTTCTTGTCCAAGAGGTGCTTTTTCTTACTGTTTGATACGTGGAAATTATCCCTTTTTCTCTTTCTACGTTCGATACATAGTTCATAATGAATTTTAAGTCATTATTTTAACTGACTATTTGTTTGCAATGAGATGCAGGCTGTGAGAAGTTGTAAGGGCCTACCTATCGCCATTAAAGTAATCGCTAGATCACTGTGTCAGCAGCCTCGTGAAACGTGGCAAAAGATGATAAAGGAATGGTCGCAAGGCCATTCTATTCTTGATTCCAATTCAAATTTGCTTAATTTCCTCCAAAGAAGCTTGTGTGTTTTGGAAGGTGAGCCCATCATCAAGGAGTGCTTCATGGACCTAGGGTTATTTCCCGAAGACCAAAGAATTCCTGCTACGGCTCTCATTGATATGTGGGCGGAACTGTATCAACTAGACGATAACGGCAAAGAAGCCATGGCCATAATCAATAAATTAGTATCCCTGAATTTGGCAAACCTCCATGTTACAAGGTACATTGACTTCTCCTTCTTTCCACGGTCTCTTAATGCTTAATTGCTATATATATTATCTGATGCAGCTTTGTATGATAACGTGAGTACTGTTCTATTGAACATCAAATAAAGAACATAAGTTGAAAACTTACGTAATATCAGACGGAGGGCACATGCTTTTTTCTTGTCTGGAATTTTTTCTTAGATGGGACGCTAAACTCTGCTCGTTTACCAGGAAAGTCGAAAGTGATGCAGACAGTTACTACAACAACCACTTCATCATGCAGCATGACCTTCTAAGAGATCTTGCAATTCATCAAAGCAACCAAGAACCTGTTGAACGGAGAAGAAGATTGATGGTTGACATAAATGAAAATAATCGACAATGGTGTCTAGAGGAGCACCAGCGAGGCATTATTGCCCGCATGTTGTCGATATTCCTTAAATGGTTCGTTAAACAAAAGCAGCAACCTGCCATTGCACGGACATTGTCTATATCAACTGGTTAGTTTTATCACTTTCTTAAAAACATATGTTTGCAGATTAAAAAAAAAAAATCAATTAGAAAGTTGCTCAGCACTCTAAATTGACGCCAATCGGACTGTTTCTGCAGATGAAGCATTCACTTCAGATTGGGGCAATGCGCAGTTAACTGAAACTGAGGTTCTAATATTGAATGTTCGTACTAAGCATTATTCCTTCCAGAAGTGCATTGAGAAAATGAAAAATCTAAAGGTTCTGATATGCACTAATTATGGTTTTCATGCTTCCGCATTGGAAAACTTTGAGCTACTTGATTCTTTATCTGCCCTGAAAAGAATGAGACTGGAGAAGGTTTCTCTTCCTCCCCTCGGCAAACTGAAGTATCTGCAAAAATTATCCCTTTACATGTGTGATACAAGTCAAGCTTTTGGAAGCTGTAAGATACCAATTTCAGATGCATTGCCGAATCTAGTAGAATTGAACATTGACTATTCCAAAGATATGGTGGAATTGCCTTCTGGTCTCTGTGATATTAAAACCCTCAGAAAGCTTAGTATTTCCAACTGCCACAAGTTTTCTAATTTGCCCCGAGAAATAGGCAGGCTGCAGAATTTGGAACTACTGAGGCTTAATTCCTGTACTGATTTAGGAGGTATACCAGAATCAATTGGCTGGCTTTCAAGGTTACGTTTTCTTGACATATCAAACTGCATAAGCCTAAGAAATTTACCTGAGAGCATTGGTGAGTTACAAAACATAGAGAAGTTGTACATGACAGGTTGCTCAAGGTGTGAACTGCCAGACTCGGTCATGAATCTTGAGCATTTAAAAAGTGTAACATGTGATGAGGAGACGGCTGCTTCATGGGAGGTTTTCAAACCAATGCTTAACAAATTAAGGATTGAGGTGCCACATGTGGATGTCAACTTAAATTGGCTTATCGGGACTGGCTTATAAGCTGCTATGGTGGGGAATGGATTTGGCACACCTTCTTTCTCGTGCATTTCTTTGCGCATGTCCTATTCTAGTATCAATAAACACATTATACATATCTTTTCCTATCTTTTACATCTTATCTTTGTTAATAAAAAAGAGATGCACAAGGGAATGCATAAAAAAAAAGTGCACCACAACCATTTCCCTCATGTGCAGGATCTAATCCATGGTCTGTCTGCACCGGAAGGAAAGTAGCATGATGGCGCCGGGGGTGCAAACTGAGCATTTGTTTCCGTGCTCAGACCAACGCCCGCACAAAAGCTCTTCTCTTGGAGCTTTTGGTCAAATGGGCATTTGAGGAGCATGAAAGTTGTCCCAAAAGTGCGCTAAGTAATTGAAGAAGCACCAGAATCCCCAATTCCCCAATTTTGGTTATGGAGGAGGCAGGGGGATGAAGACCGAATGTGAAGATCAGAGATGGGCTAGAGATTTAACATCTTTATCTTTGGATCAATTCAATGGTTGGCATTCCAACCGGAGCATCTTGTTGCTGCTTTTCTTCTGATGCGGATATACCGAATGCTTCTCCCTCTGTTAGTTTTCCGCAAATTTGAGGGGGGAGAGACTCTTTCTTTTTAAGGGAGGAGGAAATGGAAAGGTTCTGCTTTCACCATAACGTATGAATATGTAGAACAAGGAGCCATGTTGAGCCATGTTCAATGCATGTCAGACACTTGAAAGTCAAATATATGTAAGCAGCAGGAATTCAGGCTAATCATGTCCTGTGTATATTGATGTACTTTATGGATCCTAAGACAGCTTTTGTGATTGTAATTTAGAATTTGAAATATTACTGCCTGCATGCTTGTGTGTGTAATTTCATTTCTCATTTCTTCACTTATATACAGGATGGGTATGAAGTCATAAAAAGGATTTTTTTTTTTTGGGTGCAATGAAAAGGAATTGAGAACATTAAGGGCATTAATCTTAATCACACCTCCAGCTTCCTATATTTCTTTGTTTGAAGTCATTATATCGTATTGATTTTAAAAAAAAATCATTACTCCTATAGTTATTTTATTTTATATTTTTTATTTATTTGATTATCTTGCTAACGCATAACATTTGTAGGACTGAGAATACGTGCAGGGCCAGGGCCGCGGGCTTAAACAGCTAGCTCTACACAGCTGGAATTGTAAAAATGTTTTTTTTTGCTAAATTCAACTCTTAAGTTGACTTTTTATCGGTTAAAAAAAATATAATTTATAAAATGCATAAATATAAATAAAATTAAATCACAAATACAAAATATCATCATATCTAAACATCCATCAACATCGAAAATATCTATTAACAAGTCAACAATATTCAAAAGTTTCATTAACAGTGTAAATATATAATAAACAAATACTATCATCAATTTTTTAAAATTCTATCATCACTATCATCAATTACTCTTCTTCATGAGTATGTCCTTTTTTTAGTAGTAAAATATCAAGTTTTTCTTTTTCATAAAAATTTTATTTTTAAATTTTACTGTCTAACTATTATTTTATTTTAACTTGAGATATATTATTATTGAAACTTATAAATTTTTAATTCAAATTATAGATTCAAATGTTACATTTGCTTAAAGAGAATTCGAAAGAGGATCCGAAGCTATTTGCAACAATCAAACTTGAATTGCAAAATTAAACAGACAATTTGGGACAACGCCAAGCACGAGCAGGTAACATCTGGGAATCTTGACATCAACACAAATCCATACTTTCATATGCACATGCGATTTTGAAGAACTGAAGAGGAAGAAACTCGAGTCCCCTCCTCGTTTTTTTGTTTTTTGTTTTTTTTCATTAGGATAAGAGAGAACTACTGCAAATCAACCACTACAACTCAAGAAAGAAGCCAAGTTCGTATCATCCTCCTCTCCCTCAAAACCAAATTAACCACAAACGTTCGATAGAGATGGAATATGAATATGGCCTTTTTTTTAAAAAAAAAAAAGTTAACAAAGATAAAGAAAGGTGACGAAGATTTGGTTAATGAACAAATGAAGCAATAAATCCTTAATAGGGTTAACAATTAAATTCCAAACTATGGGAACTCATGAGGTGAATATCTAATATAATGTTAATCTCCCTTCTCCCATGCGGAGACATCCTCCTAACACACAGACACAGTCAATGACCTTCCATGAATTTAATTTCTCTAACAAAAACAAGAGTGGGGAGTAGCCTGCCTGAAAGAGCTATTTGAGAGGTAAATGTGGAGACAGACTAATAGTTGTCACACACTCCTTCCACTAAGTTCTAGACAACTCAGTTGAGGATTTTCCATCAAATATTTATTTCTAGCAAATAAAATGTTCTTATAGCGCTAAAAATTCTGACACCCCCAAAAATCTGTTTTGACTTAAATTGGCAAGGTCTAACTGAAAAGTAAAAAACTTAAGTTGTCCCCTTCAAGGTCGAGCTAGCTATTTCCACATAGATCAAGCTTTTACGTATGCAAAGCTAGACTATGGGCATTGTTAGTAGTTCAGGAATAATGAAACTCTCATTGATCGAATTTCCAAAATAAATAAATATCTCCCGGTAAATTACTTTAGAAGGTCACCCCTCAAGCAATCATGGATCCACTTTAAGTGAAATAATAAGTAAATAAATAAGAAAATATCTCATTTTAAATGTTGAATTAAGATGTAAAATGCCATTTAGGAAGATCAATTTATGGACTACCATAATAAAATTCTTCATGGTCTAATAAATTCAAAAGCCCGTGTCCAGGCAAAAGTAGCTGTCGCCTCTGGGAGTATGGTGTGGTGATGATTTAGGCTCTGTTTGGGTGCTCCAAAACCTTGGTTTCAGAAGCACTTTTCCGCAAAACGAGGTAACCTCCTCCATATATTTACTTCGTAATCCGTAAGAGCACTTCTGAAACTATGGTTTTGTTTTTATCCAAACACTCCCTTAGTCAAGGCAAATGACATGAAGAGTATAAGAAAGTGGTGGGTGAAAGGAAATGATGTGAAGGGTGAAAGAAAGTGGAGTGGAGTAGGAAAATTTGGGCGAATTTCCATCACCTTTCAAAGCGATTGCTGGAGAATGATATTTTAATATTTGTAACGAAATCAATAAGTGGTTCAGACTAGCTAACGAAGAAATAGCAATGAAAATAAAGCCAATATTTCACCTTTATATAGAACAAGAGGAGCAAAAGTCTAAATTTCATAACTAGAAATAAAATAAAATAATTGTTATTTTAAATGGTTCTTTTTATTTTATCTTCTTTTATGTATACATACATATATATAATCGTTTGTATATCCTTATATATATATATATTTTTTTTTTGCCAACAACGTTTGTATATCCTTATATGCAAAGAAAAGACAATTAATTTAGGAAGTATATTAATACAGTCAAATATCTAAAAAAAATTAGAATTAATATTACATATAAGGAAGCGGGTATTAAAAGCGGATTCAAATTTATACAAGCATTCACTATTTATAACAAAGGATTGATAATTTCAATTGTTAACATAGATTTTTTTTTGACCGGCAGAACCGCAGAAGACGGATGATGGATCACTGAAACCCGACAACATCTAAAGTTAAAAGTATTGAGTGTTTTTTTTTTTTTTAAAGTGATGCTGGCTGGAGAAAATAATAAGGCGCTGCCTTGCGACCCATTTGTACTGTCGAATGATACAACGAGGAAAGTTCCTTGCATCTTCCAGGTGGCTTGGCCAAATTCGGAAGAACAAAAATACATTGAACTCCGGCTGAACTTTTGGGGCCCGTTCTTCTCTCAGAAACATCTACCCTTGCTCAGAGAGAAAGAGCTGTTGAAGAGGAAAGCCCACAACAGAGCGAAATTGTGATCAGAGACAATTCTAAGAAATTGGCTGAATGCGATGGCAGGCGGTGTGACCGGAGAAGCTGCTTTGGGAGCTCTACTTGAGGAAGGGCTGAGAAGTGGGTTGGATTTGGTGGACAAGGCTATCAACTCCCCAACCAAACGTGAGGATCTCCGAGACACCGTTCAGCGTTTGACTCCGCTGATCCGGCAGATGAAGGTATATGACGAGACATGGGATCGCCCTCTGGATCAAATCGAACGAGTGTTGAGGGAATTTCAAGAGTCAGATATGCAAGTTTACACGGCGAGAGACGTGAAGGAGATTTTGTCGACCTTGTCGACCCTGAAAGAAATTATGTTGACTCTTGTTAATAACTCTCTTTCTGGGCTAACAAGTAGCGGCACGGTCATCAAGGGCCTGTGCGGAACTCCTGAGAAGCCAAAGTATATCGTGGGATTGGAAGGGGCCTTGAAGAGGTCCAAGAATGAGCTGCTTAACGGTGATGAACCTGTTCTTGTATTGACTGGTTTGCCAGGATCGGGCAAGACAACCATGGCTAAAGAACTTTGCTGGGACCCCGATGTTAAAGGTAACCAGCCCCTGAAACATCTACTTCGACTTCTCTTCTTGTTTATGACTTCTATCTTTTATTAATGGGCTAATTCTCCACGAGATGACCCAAATTTTACAACGTCTGAATCCATTGCCTTTCAGTTTCAATATTTCCACTCTACTGAGCAGCTTGTAGTAGAGCTAATGCTTGCTGACACATTTAAAGAATTTCCCTCTATATAATCGTTTGGGAGTTCGTTAATATATGACTAGTAGCTTCCCTGGTTCTTTGACCTTATGCAGTGAAGGAATACGATGGGCGCCTCAGCCCTTGATGAGTAGAAATCAAGCCTTTTATTATCATTTACTCTTGTGTAAATGCAAATTAGTGAAATGACTACCTTATATATGAGCATTCTGCAATGTTAAAAAACATCACATGCTCATTGACTTGCATCTCCTTTTGATTTGAACAGACAAGTTCGGGGAAAACATCTTCTTTGTGATCTTTTCAAAAACGCCCAACTTGAAGAATATTGTGCACACAATATTTGGACACTGTGGGCTCCCAGCGCCTGAGTTTTCGAGCGATGAAGACGCAATTAATCGACTTGGTTTTTTGCTAACGCAATTCGGGGGAAGGCCGATATTGTTGGTCCTGGATGATGTTTGGCAGGGCTCAGAAACTATTGTTGAGAAATTTAAATTCCAGATTTCTAATTATAAAGTTTTGGTCACTTCAAGAGTTGCATTCCCTAGATTTGCCACTTCATGCCACTTGGAACCACTTGGTCATGATGATGCGATAAGGCTTTTTCATCACTTCTCTCTATTAGATGACAACTGCTCATTCAAACCCGATGAGAAACTTGTCCGCGAGGTGCTTTATCTTACCTTGTGAGGGAATTATTTATATTGTTTCGCATTTCTTGAAAATCATTGGCAGCAACAATCCTAGGACCTGACCAGCAGAATATTTTATTTTACTATCTATTTTTCGTGTTTGTTCTTTTACATTGGCGTATTAATATATTGTCAATGAATAAATACTGCATGCTTGATATAGCGCCGATACCCTAGAAAACTATGACTAGAATACGTGCAGCCAGGCTTCTTATTACTGATTTTCTTTGCTTGTGCTGGAACTCAGGTAGTAAGAGGTTGCAAGGGTTCACCATTGGCAATTGAAGTTATTGGCGGATTGCTCTGTAAGCAGCCCTTTGAGGTATGGCAACAGATGAAGGAGCTTTTGCTAAGCCAGTCTATATTTAATTCTAACACTGACTTGCTCCATCGCCTCCAAACGAGCTTAGAAGTAATGGGAGATAAGTTCCCCATCAAGAAGGAGTGCTTTATGGACCTAGGCTTATTTCCTGAAGACAAAATGATCCCTGTTGATGCCCTCATTGACATGTGGGTGGAACAGTATAACCTAGATGAGGGTGGCATAGAAGCAATGGC